TATCAGTCAATTTAAAAGATAGTGTACTCACTACCTAATCAAGCACAAATTATGTTGATTTAAAATAAAAAGCAAAAAATATATGTATAATGACAGAATATGAATACCTCTATAAAAAAACGTATGTGTATTGTACTTTTAGTCGGTCGCAGAACAATAGTCGAACTTGTCTTTTAAAGAAAAAGCTTTCCCTGCTTGGTGCTGCACCAAACAGACAAAACTTTGAAGGCAGTACTTTTCTCAAGTGGGCGTCTATTGCACCCACCGAGTACTGTGTTACCTATCTGCCTTCGGACTGCCCGAGCTAGACCTATTAAAATCCTCAGGGCAGTCACTTTTCACAAAAAAGTATTGGGTTTCAATCCACACCAATGAATTACGCTCTTTTTAGTTTAGACTTAGTGTCGCGAATATCCGAGTTCGGACCTGTTTTATTTCGGTCTAGTTTTTATTGAGAGGCAAGTTACCAGTGCAGTCACTGATTCCTAGCTTGTCTGCTAATAACCTAATACCTCTCACTGTAGTCTTTCTTCTGTTTACCTAAGTCCTTTAACAAAATAATACCCCTCCGGATTGGCAAAAATAGGACCCTTCCGGACTGGCAAAATTGAGACCCCTCCGGGTTGGCAAAATTTAGACCCCTCCGGGTTGGAACCCCTCTGAGTTAGCAAATATAAGATCCCTCCGGATTGGGACCCCTCTGAGTAAGCAAATATAGGACCCCTCCGGATTCGGAACCCTCCGAATTTGGAAAAAAAAATTTGACCCCTCCGAATTGGGAGCCCTCTGGTTTTGTAAAAGTAGCTTTTCGGAGATTTCCTTCTTTCACCCTATACCCCTCCGGATACGTTCCCCGATGCTATTTTGCTTTTTCAAATAACTAGGAAGGGTATGTAATGCTTTCCTAGACCCTTCCGGATTGAAGTTAAGCCTCTTATTTGACAATTCACGCTAACGGTGAAGGGTCTTATCGCTACCCTAACTTCGGCTCGATTAAGGTTTTCTTGTGCCTTTAGCCTTCCCTTTTCGTCTAGAACAGCCTAAAGTTACTCTATTCAACCGCTATTACCTTTTGGTAGGGGTGTAAGGGCTTTCCTAAAAAAATTTATAAAACGTAACCTCCCAAATTGGTGAATTTGCTAAAAACAATCTCAAAAACTTTTCACGCTTACTTATCCGAAAAACTTTTATCCCTATCAGTAAGCTCGGCTAATTTTTGATCTATTGGTACCAAGATCAACTGGATATGCCCAGTAGTTCCAAAGTTATTAACCAAAACGTCTTTTTTCTAAAGTCAAGAAATTTCTCTCTAATAGGTTCCGCTTAACTTTTTCCGCAATTCTGTTCTTTTCGACCTGAAAATTATTGATCCGAGCTTAGAAGGCCTATACTCTTCTAGTTCAATGCAAAAAACCCGATCTAAAACGTTTTAGTTGAAAAATTTTGCGAAAAACTATGCTACCTAGACCCCTCCGGATTGATGAATCCACCAAATCAAACACGTTAAGTTCGATTTCTCTGCAACCCGGAAGGCTTTCGGGTGGCGGATTTTAAAACTCGTAGATTCAATAGTGGACGTTGTCCGAACATTTATTTTTACTGTTCGAACTCAAAAATTTCAAAAAATTTTCTCAATTAATAGTGTTCCGTTTTCTCAAAAATCACGAAAATTCGGTTTTTGGTTCCAAAATAGTTCCAACCACTTCCGAACTAAACTTAACCGGTTTTATCTATTATAGTAGTGCAGTTACGGTGAAACACACTAATTTAGCGCTTTTTTACGTTCCAAAAAATATCGATATCTCAAAAAATCGCGATTTGTGGGGGGATCAAAATATCGCTATTTTGACCCTAAAAACCGGTCTGCTTTCTGTGTTTTTCACTGAAAAACGGTATAGGAATATTAATATAGGCTATATAAGTAATAATATTAGTAATACTATACCCCTCCGGGTTTGTTTAATATCCGAATTAAGGTGCTTAACTCGGATATTCGCAGTTCGGTGAAGGGTCACTACAGTGCAGCACTGTCGAGCCCCCCACAGATTCCTATCTTAATTTTTTGTACCAAAAGGGATACAAAACTTGTTAACGATACCCAACAGTCGATTGTTGTTGTCGTTGAGCCCCTTCTTGTTGCTCCTTGCACTGCTTGCCGGATCAGTCTTCTCCCAAGACCCTTCCGAATTGAGAGCAAATCAGCTGACCCTTCCGGATTGAGCGCAATTTATCATTAATGTGCTTAAATGCTCAAATAACCCTACAGTACAAGCCTCACAAACAGGCTACAAAATTGATCGTAACAATCCTGACTGATATAAATGCCTGTAACAACAATATATCTATCAACAACAAACGGGGGGGGACGGATCACATCTTGTCTGGGGGGATGATTTCTACTGATTTTTTACTTTTTACTGTTTTTGGTTTTTTCAGTTATTTTTTTTTGTGTTTTTTGTTTTTCTTGGGTACTATACTACTTTTGTTTGGTTTTATATATATCTTTAAGTGTTTTGGGTCACGGACTACTCAGGATATGACGGGATCGCGAATCCCCCCACCCTTCCTGGTTCGTGAATTTTCGGTCTTAACTAGGTTAAAAAGCTATTCACGGTAATCCGGAAGGCTTCCGCGTTCCGAACTACCCTTCCGCCCCGCCCTTTTAGGCCTATTAAGGGCGTTAATGTGAGCATCCGCTCGGCGCGGAGTGCTCGTTAACGGTTCTGCCGGTCATGATGCTAAAAAAGAATAACACCCAGGAGCGCCATAAAAACATCTATGTAACATTCGCCCGGAAGATACATATCGACGGAAAATAAAACTAAGTCCTAAGATGACTGGCCAACGTCTAAACAGAGCTTTACATGCTTTCAACCGTCTCTACCGAGCCAGTACTTTCGGTGTTCTTTCTGACATCGAGTCGACAAAAACGTTACTGCTTTCAGCTTCGGTCAAAACACTCAAATTAACTAGATTACAAGCAGAAATAGTGAGCTCATGGCTGGGTCTCAGTATCCCCAGACCACGAGGTCACTCCTAAAATCAGGGCTACTACTATTTATTGAACTATTATTACTTTTTTTCAGTAGATAAAAATCATCATCTCCATCGAAGATGGATTAACCCTTTACCCAAACTCCTAGCTTCTCATCTTAGTAGAATGAATTCAGATGTTAATTAAATTCAACTCAGGACATGACAGGGAAGTTAAAAGTTTTTATAAGGTAATAAAAGTTCCAGTCCCGAGACCCTTCCGGATTCCTGAATCCGGGGAAATAAGGCCTTTATCTTCCTTCCGGAAGGCTGTCTTCCACCCTTCACCGTTGTTCGCAACGGCCTTGCAACTATTGTAGCGACACAATAGTTGCAACTCGAAACGGTCTCTGCTACTTCTGCAATCTGTTGTTGTTTTTCAATCACAATTCTCGTTGTTATCGCTATCGCAACTAATGTTGTTGTGTTTTTCTCCGGTTTTCTCATCAAAATGGCCGTTTTTGACGTTTCCTAGAATTGTTACGTCATCAAATCGAATTTTTAAAATTTAGGAATTTCCGCATCCTTCAGCCTTCACGATTAGTCCAATCGTTCGAATAACGCTCTTATTCCTTCAAAATCGCCAATTCATTTGGTTCGCTGCTCAAATTTCGAATCTGCTGAATCTGCTTTTTGGTGCTTTCTGGTCGAATCGGTCAGCATTAAATGCATCGTCGTAACCATCATTTAAAAACACCGGCTCAAAATCCATATTACAAGTACAAATTTATAACCACATCAAATGGAATTAACGTGGAGAAAACTCCCGGGGGCAGCGGGGCAGATGGGAATGTATCCAATCATCGGTGGTGGATCAGTTCATTGACAAAAAGCGGATCCGGGTCGCTTTTGAACGCCTCAATAATAGCTGCAGCTTTTCCCATTTGCACTGCTACTCCAAACGTTGTCTTAGATGTTCAGTTGCTCTCTTCTCTCCTGTGGCAAGAAATATCCGTCTACCCAAATCGTTTACAAAATCGAGGGTGCTAGGGCCGAGTCCACCTAATGTCTCTACTGCAACTGGCTGGAAGAAGTGTGCCTGTGCTATGGCCGAGTATTTACTGACTTTTCGAGACTCGGCAAAATCAGCGACACATGGACCAGGAGTAGCTGCTTGGGTGGAACATGAGGCGGCTAGGCGATGCACGCAGGTGAAATCCCACGCCATGGAGCGACCTAAGCGCCAGGGCATCAGGGTAACGCCGTCTGGCCTTTTGTTGTCGTCTCGGAACATACCTGCTGGTTCCAATCCTGCTGGAGTATGAGCACTCTGCAGGGCTTTGTGGATAATCTCGTTGACGAGTTTGTGCCTAGCATGGCGACTCCGACTGCGAAGACAGACGAACGCGTGTGACACGTCCGCTTCAACCTTGGCTCCACACCAACAGGTGTGTGAGGAGTAAATTGGTGCACCTAGTCTGAAGCTAACGGCGATTCTCAGCTGCTCGTCTGACATATGCAAACCTAGAGATCTCGAGGGCATAGCGTTGAGCCAGTCGCTCGCTCCTTTACAAGCAGCTCCATGTAATCTGGCGGCATCGCTGGCTGTGGCTTCCTGGAGAAACTGGCTAACTTGTTTTTCCGTGATTTTGTCGCATATTTGGCGCTGTTTAAAAAATCGCGGTGGAGCTCCATCTGCTGTGAAAGCATCGAAGGTCACAATGTCACAATCTGGTCGAATGTCACAATTCGAATTCTTGAAAATTAAAATTTCCAGAATATTCTGACCTTCACGATACGTCTAATCGTTCAAATAACGTCGCTAATCTGCTAAAATCGTTAATCGTCTAGGTCAGCGGCTACGAATTCGAAACTGCATTTTCGTCCATTCTAGTCGAATGTCACAATGTTACTTTTAAACAGTTCAATCTTTATTTTAAAAAACAAGAAAGGGAGTAGAATAATAAGAAGAAGTCATTAACACGAAAATTATTCATATTAAGTACTTGGGTTGTTTTTTCAGGAAAATGTTACAGGCAACGGGAGCATGTAAAGATAAGGATTGCAAATCAGGTTGCGAAAATCAAGCACCTGGGAATTTGAATCCTTACTTGCTCTGTAAAGCGGGGTAGGCTTTATATTATTTTTTTTATTCCGTCTTTCGTGAACAGCATGTTATATATATTTCGGTTTTAGCATGCTTTTTCCCGTCCAAGAGCTGTTAATTGCTGGCAAAACTGACCTCTTCACGAAACCAGACGTGAATGGCTTTACGGCGATACATTATGCTGCGGGATATGGCCACGTTCAGCTTTTGCGATCATTTCAACAGTTCAAGGTTTGTCTTCACATCGTTGAAACTGTAATTTAATTGAATTTGAATCCTCGCAATTATTGATTGTCAGTTTTATTGTTACAGTTGCCTCTCGACTCAAAAGCAGAAAATGAAAACAAAGCTACAGGTCTTCACATGGCTTGTTGTCGTGGGTCTATTGCTTGTGTGGAGTTCTTACTAAATGCAGGACTTGCAATTGAATCCGTAAGTTGAACAGAGTGAAGTTGAATAACATCAGTTGTCTACGAATTAATCCTGGCTCCGTGCAGCAGTAGTTGTTCCGATCATTAAGTGGGAAGTAATTTCATATTCAGTCGTGATAGTGTTTTTATGAACAAAATCGGGTACTTCAAATGCTTGACTGATGGGGTTGACTGAGATTCTTTATTGTTTCGACCGAGGCAGGTCAAAAGTTAATCGTCATTGCAATTAACTGCATTAAATTGAAATTTTGAAATTTTTCATTGCAATTAATTTATTGCCATTCCTGACCAATAACAATTAATTGATTGCGCTCTACCATTTAATTGTCAGTAATTTCATCAAACGCATTTCTTAGAAATACACGAACATTTCTCAAAAAATTAGTTTCACTTCATCACAGCAAAGTTGCTTAAAAGATTTTCAGTACAGCAGAATCTGCATATTCTGATCTTTGGCAAATTTCACTACCGCGGAACCTGGAAATGCAGTTCTTTCAGAAAATCAACCAAAAATACTGGGACAGTGAACTCGTGTCAAAAGTTATTAACCAAGAGTGCTTGAAATTAATTGTTCAAACAATTGCAATTTAATTTTGGGTTGTGCCAATAAATTGATAATTGATTTTTAACGTTCCAATTAGTTGCACTTTAATTTTCTGTTGTTCAATTTGCTTTTGAACTGTCCTGTTTCCGACCATTTGAAAAATGTTGAAGAACTTGTATTTGGGTGTTTTATTGTTTTTTTTTATTTCCAACGCAAAATCAGGTACCACAAATAACATCGGAATGTGTCGAGTATAAATCATATTAAAGCCATTTCAGTCGTGATGCAAACGACATTAAAAACTTCGAAAAAATTTCCAATGTCGAAAAAAAATAGTTGGAAATTTTTGATTTTGGTCTAATTTCAAGCTAATAAGGTGGAGTTTATAAAAAACTTTATGCTTGGATTTTTGCTGCGTCAATTTGGGAATCAAAAACCTTCCAAAATTTGAATATTTTCAACGATTTTTTTTCGTTTTCTAGTCCTTTTTCTGCAAAAACTGTTCCATTTTGGCTTCAATTGTTTTCTATTTTTCTCGTTCAGATTTTTTATCACAACACGCATAGAAAACGACACTAATTTGAATTTTTTTTGGATATAGGGTCGGAAATTTCTGTCCTTCTTCCGCAAAACCGACTATCCTTGTTATAAATTGGTTTAATTGTATTCTACAAAAAAATTCTTATGTTAACACCAACGACTTGGAGCGTGTTTATTTCTCACAGAACTCCGTTGCATATACGACGATACCCATAGGCAGACTTAAACAAAGATAGCTGGTTACTGTGCAAGTAGCACAGAATGCTCCGACCATAGTCTTAATTTTTTTTTTCTAAATTAGTGTCGTTTTTTTTGCGTGGTGGGATAAAAAATCTATCTCAACAAAAAAATAAACCTAGGCATATTCGAAATTCATAGTGAAATAAGCCAATTGGAAAACAGTTTTTGTAGAAAAAAGCAAAATCAGTAAATTCAAAAAATTTCTTTTTTTTCCAGAAAGTTATTGAATTTTGAATTTCTTGATTCACAAATTGGCGCTAAAACTCCAAAAACTGATTTTACTCGAGTGAAACAAAATTTTCAGGGCTTAAATTAAGCTTTTTAAGCCGCTCAATCTCAACATATAAGCTTGAAATAAGACCTGATTTTGCGTGGATAATGAAAAAAAAACTAAAATTCACACCCAATACGAAGTTCACACTTTGAAAGCTATAATATGGTTATACTGTAAAATGCTGCAGAAGGCATACACGTAAGAAAAACGACAGACTTCAACACAGAGGCGAAGCAGAGCTTCGCATCACTTGCGATAGAAAAATGATTGACTATCACTACTTGCAGCTAATCCGACAAATCAAACAAAAAACATAATCAAAAAATTTATAAAATTTGCAAAAAGATCTAAAAATTCGAACTGAAACAACTGCAACTTTGGAAATTTTAAGGAGATAGGCGAAGCAAAGCATCACACTTTATACAAGAAAACCCATACGTAGTAAGACAAATTAATCGACAAAAATATATATGAAAGCCATAGAAAGAAATCAAAAAATGATCCTGAATTTGTCTTGAATGAAAATTCCTTTCATAAAAAAGTTCCAAAAGAAGTAAACGAAAATACTGTGAATAAGCATCAAAACAAAACTGATAAAGAGGTAACAAATCCGACAATTCTTGGGCAAACATGTTACGCCAAAAAATGTTTCAAGTCCCCCTCAAAACACTTTTTTTTTGCTCTTGAAATATCAGAATATCTAATCCGATATATTATAAGTCGAAACCGATATATTATAATTCGAAGCCGAATAAGGAGGAAAAAACGAAAAAAAAATTGATATACTAAATTCGGAGTCGGTAAACTTGCAACCAGCAATAAAAGTTCGAATAGAAAAAGAGATATGCGTAAAATATTTCTGTTCTCCTTCTTTCTGTTAGTTAATGAAATTTATGAGCAAATTTTCAGTCATCCTGTGAACAAAGGTAGTATGTTTCTAATTTCTATTTTTTCGTTCAGATTTTTATCACGCCACGCAGAAAAAACTACTTTAATTTGAAAAAAAAACTTTTGGTTTTGTTAGGACTATGGTCGGAACATTCTGTGCTACTTGTTTTGTTTTCAGTTTTTGTTATTCATTTTGCAAAGCTCGTAGTCAATGTACCTCTCTGTATTACTGAAAGCAGGAGTTTTCATGTTTTTCAAGTTTTGTTATAATCTGTTGTGATCGAAATCTTCTGTGTTAATTGCACAGCAATCGACTTTTCTTGTCGATTTATGGATTAGCTTTATAACGCTTGCGATTATAATTGATAGATTATAGATGAAAAGATTGTTTCGCAGACTCTTTAACTTTGTAGACAGACGGTGGAGGATGCACACCTCTTATTGTCACAGCTAAAAATGGACATGCACCCTTGGCAATCTACTTAATAAACAAAGGCGCTAACATCAGGCATGTCGACAATGAAGGTGACACTGTTTTGCACTGGGCAGCCTACACTGGCCAGACAGATCTGGTCCAGCTTTTGCTGCGATATGGACTGAATCCGGCACAACTTGATACCTTCGATCAGACCCCTCTACACAACGCTTGCGTGAAAGGAAGCATCAACTGCGTCAGAGAACTGCTTAAGCAGGTTAGTTTAATGAACGACGAGTCAACTAATTGTACTGTTTGAATAAACATCATCTATAGTAGCTATAGGTAACGGAAACAAAATGAATGGTTATAGCTTGACCAAGTGAGTAGATATACATGCTTTCCTATTAACCTTGCACGAGCTTCAGCTAATTGTAATACACCACGCCTATGTTAATTAGCTGAGAATATTGCATGTATCTGGTATACATTTTAAGTTAATTCATCTCATACAAACTGATTGCAATACTGGTGGTAAATGCCGGCTGATTTTAGTAACTTGATCAAGAACGCTCCGCGTCAAATCTTGTTAGGCTTCTTGGTTCAAGCGACAACAATAAATCGAAAAAAGAAAAATAGTTTCATCGAATTGCTCAAATTAGATAGTTTTGAAATCAACAGAATTTTTACTAAGCATTTGATAGTGTGATAAATCAATGTTTTACGAAAGGATAATGTTGGTAACGATTTTGGTTAGTTGCGATTTGGGGTCTTTATTCGACCGCAATAATGTCCAGGGAGTATCTCTTTCGAAAATGGGGTGTAAGAGGGTACAATTTATGGTAGCGGGGCTTGCGAATTCTCGAGAAGTGTTTCGGACGTCTGCATGGCTGCCTTCTAAATCACCTTATTCAATAGAACAATGGTGCGACTATTTGAATTTAGGATTTTAAACTTTCCGTAGATCAGACCAAGTGGTTCGTGTTTAGGATGACATGACTAGAGTATTGGAATGGCGGGACAAAAACGGGAAAACGCCAAAGATGTTGGCCGAAGGCAGAAAGCATAGGGAACTGCTGCGATTTTTCGCACATCTCGAGAACAAGAAATTGTCTTTCTCAGGAATGAATCTGGCATTCGACTGGAAGTTAGTGCCATACACAATAAAAATAGTGTTTAAAGTCCCTGTATGTAAAATCGTTTAAAGTCGTGTATGTAAAATCGTTACTACCACAAACATTTTTTCATACTTTTCGCACATTTAAGCTACGATTTGATTTGTTTCAGCCTATTGATGTTCGGTTCTCCGGGCAACCCGCGAACTATGATCCTCTTCATAATTATCAATTTCTTCCTGCTAGCCTACCCAATCTACCTTCTCTGGATCTTGCCGTCGACTCTTAATGACCTGTTTATTGTACATATGATCTTCCTCCTCGCTAGTTTCGTTAAGTGGTTCGGATATGCACACTGCTCGACTGTGGATCCAGGGTACATCAGCTCGAATCCAGAGGAGTACAACTACCAGATGAAGCAGGTGAATCACGGGATGCAGAAGTTTTGACTTTTATTGAGTAATAAAAAAATACAGAGAAAGAACGTTTAAATACTCCGACATTTGTCGATTTTTTTCAATGAATCAATTTTTTTTGGAAGACAGACAATTTTCACAGGTTTTTTTTGCGGAAAACAGAGGAACAGTTGCTGGAATATACGGATTAATTGCTTACTGGAGCTAGTAGGTTAATGTATTTTTTATTTTGCAAAAGCCAAATATTTTCAACCAAATACTTTCTAATAAACATCGGTATTGCAACAGAGAACTAGACTTTTCCTCGTGAAAAACTTTGTTCATGGGCTGGAAGAAATTGGATCATCTTCAACTGAATTGTTATGGTAGTCTTCTGCATCTAAATAAGTTTCCGAATGCTGTGTTTTATTTCGAGCTTATTTTTCAAAAAAATATATTGGAATCAAATGGATGTTTTTCTAGGTCGTTGGGATTTCTTCCAAGTTTTTTGGCCTTAGTTGCCACTTTGTGTTTCATTTCAATCAATTTTTGAACAGTTTTTGTAAGAATCGATGAACGTAGTTCAGACTCTTATTCATTTCGCGATAATTTTTTTTCGTTTTTTTTTTCAGGAAAAGTCTCAAAATTTATTTTTTTGCGGTTTGACTTTTGATTTCTTTTAATTGCAGTTCATTTCCTTTGTTAGAAGGAACACAAACTTCACTATCGGGATAAAATACTTAGAGGGATAAAAATTTTACCAATTGATCATGTTTTCTTAAATTTTCTGAATTTTATGGAAAAACTGCCAATCATAAATTGTTCTAGAAATTCAAAGAGCTTTAGCTTTAAGGGCATCTATTCTTTTTTTGAAATTCGAAAGTTTTTTTTTAACTCTTTTCCAAATTTTTGTTGGCTCTGGTTTACTTTTTTCAATCATTTTTGAGCAGTGTGAATAAATTTTCTTTGGTTTTGGTTTTAATACACACCTAAACTTTCTGTTAGTAACGAAAACAATTTTGAATAATGACATTTTGGAATAAGGCTCTAGCATTAACATGAATATTTTTTGAAATTATAGTCTAGTAATTTTGCGTCTTCATTATTGGCGCATTTTTGTAAATCAATTTAAGGTAATGGCACATTGAATTTTGAAATGTGTAAAATTTATCACAACTAATCCAGAAGCAAGAATTTTTTTTTCAATATCGACCTGACAGTTTTTTACACCGACGTTTTACAAGTGGCGCATGGGCTTCAAGATTGTGGTTATTTTACGGTTGCTCAATTTTTTTTATGTTGGTTGTAAATTTATCAACTGGGTTTTAGCTTAAATTCAGTTTCTTCCTCTTTTTTTCTCATCGGTATGGAGATATTTGGTTTAAATAATATTATTTTAGGAGCCTCATGTTGCGTCATTTGATTAGCAAAAAATTATTTATTCATGTGATCTTTGACCGTGAGACTTCTTTTACTAAATATTTATTTAGTTTTCATGAAAATATTGTTTACTCAAGGTATCAGCTCAAGTATTGTCGGGTTTGTTGACGTTTACTAATTTAGACGATTATTAAATGTGACTGAACATAGTGAAGACACTTAATAGGTAGTGATGATTTTTTTCAGGAAAGGGTCTTAATTTTTGTGTACGCTTAATTTCATTTCAATTTGACTAACTCAAAGGAGGGAAAATTGCGCTCTTCGTTTAGAAGCGAAAATGGCGCGAAAAAAGGTGCAGTGTTTTTGGTTTCAAAATTCGAACCTAATATTTAAATTTCCCAGCAGAATAAACAATTTATCGAGCTGTCCTTCAAATTCGGATAGCCTTAAGGCCCTTTATTTTTTCCTTTAAAATTTGAGTTGAAATTTAGTTCCAAAAACAAGTGTCTGTTGGCTATTTTTTCAATTGCAACTGTTCTTGTAAACGCGAACTAGATTTTTTTCCAGTAATGAACGGTACTTAAAAATCTGTTGGAAATTGGCCTTGCTCTCAGGTTTTACTCCCAGCCCGACCTTGTTTTTAGAATGTATTGAAATTGAAAAAAGTTTTGAGTAAACTGTCGTACTATCGTGTGTCCATATTTAATTTCCGTAGCGTCGAAGTTATTTTTTGTAATGCATTATTTCCTTAAATGCAAAAGACGAATTCAAACTATTGTCAGGGGCTACAATATGTTCAGTTGTCAATCATCCTAGTTGTCAATCATCCTAGTTGCTATTCTTTTTTTTTTTTTTTTTTTTTTTTTTTTTTTTTGGCTGCGTTCAAGAATCGTGATGCAAAAGATATAGGGCGCCACCCTTCTGTACCCAATTGCTCTAAAACCGCTCCGAGGCCATTGTGACTTGCATCGCAAACAACTCTAATGTCCTTATGAATATCAAAGTGTTTTAATTCAACTATGTTCGCTACCCCCATTTTAATGTTTTGGAAAGCATTTTCACATTCCGCGGTCCAATTATATTCGTTTTTCTTGCTGAGGAGTGGCCTTAATGGAGCTGACATCTCCGCTATCGCCAGTAAATATTTATGCAAGCTGTGGATTGAGCCCATAAATGACTTTAATTGCGTGACTGTCTTAGGAGCTTTTAGTGCGTCTATCGGCGATGTTTTTCGTTTAAGAGGCGTAACCCCCGTTTCGGTTATACGATGACCAAGCCACTCGCATTCGCGTTTTGCAAACTCGCATTTTGGTAACTTCAAGGATATGTTTTCGTGGTTTAGTTTCCGGAGGATCTTTTCAACCAAGGAGATATGTTCTACTTCCGTTCCCTTGGTTGTAACCAAAATATCATCAATAAACGCGTTCGCTTGTGGGAATTCGTTTAAAATGGAGTCCATTACTCGCTGGAACTCTGCCGGCATTGACGTTAACCCGTAAAACCCTGTTCGGAAACGGTAAGTTCCTGTCGATCGTCCGCCCACCAAAGAAAAATTACAATGCACGCTTGTTTCTTCACTAAGCGGTAGTTGCCCATACGCGTACGTGAGGTCCATCGTAGTAAAGTACACCTCCCCTTGTTTTTTCTCGGATATGAGTTGTCCTATTGTATCTACAAGTTCTTCTATATTTGGCATCTGGTATTTGTTTTTATGCACTTGCTTATTAAGCTCTCATGATTCCAATGCTAATTTTACGGACCCGTCTTTTTTCACGGTGATGACGATCGGAGAAACAAAATATCGATCCGAACACTCTTTCAATTTTTCTATGTGTCCCTGGGCTAATAGCTTATCAATTTCTTTGTCCACTTTTTCTTGGAGCGTTACCGGCACTCTCCGTCCCTTCTGCTGCACTGGTACAAGATTTTTGAAAAATTCTGCTTGAACTTTGTAGTTCCTAATTTTTCCAACTCTAGTAAAAAGTTTTGGGAATAGCTTACTGAAGTATGATTGCCATTGATCCATCTGCTCATCCTCCGGTTCATCGTGCCCCTCCTTGCATGAATTGTCCTCCGCCCCCTGGAGTTTCATGACCTCCCCCCTTGGATCTGCTTGCATCAACTGGAGTCCAAGTTTACCCATCAAATCACGTCCCACGATGGATGGTCTGGTCCCCCCAATGACTCGGACTTCTGCTGTCGTCTTCCAGCCGTTTGATGCTAACTCGAGTTCCATTCTGCTCAACATCTTGATCCGATTGTTACTGTAGTCTCGAAATTCGTCATCGTCAGTGTTATCCTGCTTCAAGTTGATTCCCGCTCTTCCCACTGTTCTTCTCAAATCTTCTAGTGTTAGAATGGATATCGGCGATCCACTGTCGATCCAAATGTTCATCGGGTGCCCATTAATAAATATTTTGAGTTTAGGCCCAGCAACTTTCAACACCGTTTCCTTCTTCCGTCGAATTGCCATCACCATGTAATCGTCTGAACTTTCTGATGACCAGCTGTGGTGTTCTCGTTTAACGAAACCTACTGAATTTGCCGCAGCTTGGGGCTCCACGTCATCCGAGGGGGTATCTTCTTCGTCGAAGAGCTCATCCCCTTGGATCAATCCAACTGGTTGTCCCCCCCTGGATTGTCGTTTTCCCCGGCAAGTCCTCTCAAAGTGCCCAATCTTTTTGCAGAAATTGCATGTGACGGCTCTTGCTGGGCATCGTTGTCGGTGTTCTGGGGTGAAGTTCGGTTGATCGCAGTTGTAACATCTGCGCTCTTGCATTCGATCGTGTGTTCGACCTCCTCCACGATTTGGATATTGACCCCGTCCCCTTGGCATTCCTCGTCCCCTGGATCCGCGAATATTGCTGACTGGTTCCGTTTTGATCTGTAGGGAACCCCCTGGCGATGGATGCGTCATTCCCGTGGAACCGGATACGGCGCCCTTGTAGCTCCGTGCGTACTTGTCTCCTCTTTCATATGACATTGCGATTCGCAATGCTTCTTCCGGGGTTTTAGTTTCCCGACACAGCTCGTTCTGTGCGTCCCTGTTCCTCATGTTGAAAATAAATATGTCTCTCACCATTTTCCGCTCCTGGGTGCCCAAATTGCATCTTGCCGCCATTCCGCTAAGTTCTGCATAGAACGATTCTAGACTCTCACCCTCCTTTTGTTTCCTCGACAACATTTGGTACATCTCGTACGTTTCGTTCCGCTCTTTCTGAAAAAGAGCTACACAGATATCCAAAAAACGTGGGTATCGTATTGTTTCCATATCTAAATGTGGATGCTGGTTATGCAAGGCTCTCTGTCCCTCATGTCCCAGGCATAAATACAGATTCGATATCAATGTAAGTTCACCTTCTGCCCGTGGTCTTCCACCAATGTCACCCAGGTCTGCGATCTGTGCTTCAGTTAATGTCGATGCAAAGTAGTAGTCTGACGAGACTAGTCCATGTTTCGCCACCATCGCCCAATGAAATCGTTGTTTCCAGTGTTCCCATAAAAGTTGCGGTTCCGCCTGAGTTGGAGGCCAGAAGGCCACAATTCCAAGGGGGTTTTTCCCCCCACCATCCACTGACTGCGCCATAACAAGGGTTTGTAAAAAGATGGCTGTTAAATACTCAATTGACTGTATTCTAGTTCGCATAAATAAGAGAGTGAACTAGAGGTCAACACATAACAGCTAGACAGCTTTTAGTTGATTGACAGGCAGGTACCAAACTCACACTTAATTAAAGTATGAGAAATAAAGAATAGCAACTAGGATGATTGACAACTAGATTTCCACTCCATGATCTCTATCTCCACTATGATAGTAACTGGGTTGTAATTTGTTAATTTACCAACACAGTTAAGTGTATTTTCCTTTTTCGATAGAATGGTTTGGCCTAGTAATCTCATTTTGCGTCATTTGAAAGATTAAAATACGTTGTTCTGCGTTTTTGTTTCAGTAGTAATGGTCCGAATTTCAAAATGTTATATCCCAAAAATTTTTCTGAAAACATTTTTTTTTGGCTCATATGGCGTCTACTTCAGTATTTTCGACTCAGTTGCCAAATGGTAAATGTTTTTAATGCTAATTTATTGCTGTTGAATGTGTGTCGTAACTTGTTTGTCTCAAAATTAATATCATGCGAGACAAACTCATCAATTTCTTCAATTTTTTTTTCGAAATAGTGGTAACCATCTCATGTTCTGCTCTCTAGCTTGTGATGCTGTTATTTTTGTTGCAATGCTAGTGGTGCGAAACTCCGTTTCCCCTCTGTGTTATCATTTGGTTGTCCTAATTGGCATGAGATCGACATGAAAGTTTTGATATATCTTGTTCTTTTCGACCTTTGAAAAAAACTCGACTTAACGTCTTCCTCGTTCTGTTTTTTTTCTGATAGTTCTACTAAATTTCGACCTATGAATGGTCAATCGGCTTTTTGATTTCGCTATTTCTGAATTATTTCAAATTCATGGCAGCAGTTAATCATCTCTGTTCTCTGAATATGTGCCTTACTCGTTTTCAGTATAAAAAGAATGAAGTGATTGTCACTTTCATACATCGCGATGATTTCTTGATGTTCTAGTCATTTGTTGTTTAAAAAGGAATGCAAACTTCACTATTGAACAGCAAAAAAGTTATGATCGTGAATGACTGAAGGCATTTATTTTTGGGAAATAAATAAAAAAATTTATTGATCCAGTTAATAAATGGGTCAACTGGAAAAAAATTGTTCCATTCAAAAACAATTCTTAAGTTTTAAAGAGCTTCAAAGTGATTTTTTTTTTTGAAATTCGGACGTCGAAAATTGTTTAAATAAATTGAATCAAACGTTTTCTGTTGTCTTCTCGTTAGCCATTTTTTGGAGGTTTTTAAGTTCCTCTTATCATCTGTTGGCTGTGTTAATTAACTTTAAAAAGTTTAATGGATCTGAAATTTGTTGATTTGCATCTGCTGGAAAATTCAGATAAGACTGCGTTTTGAATTATTTTGCATAGAAGCAAGGGTATTGTAGAATTCTGAAGTTATAGATTCGTTCGATAGTATCTCATCACAGCACGGACGTAAAACGACGTATTTGAAAAAAAACTTTTTTTTCTCTAATACTTTAAAAAATTTTGTGGTCGAACTATGTGCTTCACAGCAGCCGACAATCTTTTTTGTATTAGTTTTTGTTCGGTGTTGCAACTTGTTCAGATGGAAATAAAATGGGACGGTTTGGCAAATATGCATCAATAATAGCATGCTCGTTTTCAACAGCACAGAAAGGTAAATTAAATTTAGCAAACCAATACAACTGGGTGTTTTTCTAGAGTGTTCACACATGGCGGGTAGGTCTACGCTCTTGAGTTTATTCGTTTCTCCTTTAATATTTGAACCCGATTGAAATGTTAATAAAGCGTAAATTGAAGCCCAATTGCTAGCGACTCCAGCAGTTAACAACGCCTCGGAGCTGCAGGAACTGTTGAGGCGTCTCTGTCACACTTGTCAGTTGGTGAAACCTATGAGGTCCAAACACTGTCAATTCTGCAACAGATGCGTGGAACATTTCGACCATCATTGCCCTTACATCGGAAACTGTGTCGGCTTGAGAAACAGGTAATTCCATTGTTTCACTCATTGATTTTGTGGCAAGAGATCTGCAAAAAAACTAGCATCGTAAAGCAATTAGGATACGATTTTAGCGTCTATGTGAAGTTTGAGTACCATAGTTCCTAAATTTTTGTTTTCGTTATTAAAGATTTTGAGTAAATGTGGGACATTTATTAAATAATGAGTTTCTCAATAAATTGTAAGCTAACAAAATTCTAATTGAGCTTTGTGTTCAGACACTCATTCACGTTCTTCGTTGGTGGGTTCGGAGTGAGTGGCTTTCTGGGCAACGTCATGCTCGTCTACTATCTCAATCATGTGTACTCTGTGTGGTGGCTGAAAGTGTTAGGACTCTACATGTTCATGTTCTGGCTTATCGGCATGTACATTTTCTCAGCGCTGGTAGGAACTTGTCTGCTATTTTCCAAAACTCATGAAAAATAGTGAAAAAACGCAAAAGCCAACCCCACCTCTCCTGAACCCTTTTGTCTTAACTTTGGCGGTGGGCACTCCTTAGTTTAGAGTGTTTGTTGGCCTAAGGAAACGTAGGTTATGTGGATTCAATCATGTACTAAAATTGGGTGTATTTGCAAAGATCGGCATACAGATGACAGGAACAACATTTAAATTAAATATATTTACCTCTATTGCAAACAGGAAGGATGCGTTAGTGGCTACCGGGGGAGGGGGGGGGGGGGTAAATAAAGAGATTTCAGTCTTGATTTCAAATTGATTTTAAATAACCATTTTAGTGGCATGGAATATGCACCAATTTAACCTTAAACGAAAGAGCTAACTGGAAGCGATACGGATATATGAAGGCACCGAATGGAGGCTTCATGAACCAATTCGACAAGGGAAAACTAAACAACATCCTGGAGTTTTTCCATGTGAAAAAAGATTCAGACCTGATGAGACGAAAAAGAGTAGATATCATTTGAGGTGTGATCAAATACTGCCTGCCATAAATGGCAAAAATGCGTCCTTGGCTCGTCTCAGTAGCTTCAAAATATATATCATTTCCAGAATATGCCGCCTATCATGCACAACAGTGATGTAAAGAAAAGTTGCCAATCAGAATTGGTATTTCAAATTTCAAGCTTATATTGTACAGACGACACAGTGAATAATCTCTATTTAGATTCTTTGTAAACTTACTGTAGTAAGTGGCGGTATGCGAATTAGAAGAAGCAGAGTTTTTGACATGCTACAAAAGCAGGCAAATTGGTTATATTATTTCATCTCCCGAACCAATCGGAGCATTAGAATAAAGGGTCTACGAGGTCAGGCTTTTTTATTTTTAGGGCTTTACTCGCTTTTTGTTGGAAAATGTCACTATGACAAGTGCTGCTTATGAGATTACGGAAGTTATGAAAATTTGTTTGATCTACGAAAATTTTTTGAAATAGGTATGGAAAATCTGTCTGCTTTCAAACTTTTCTGCTGGCTGCGTAACCTCGCATAGTGTGCAAATAGTTGATAAATTTTTAGCTTAATTATTTTTTCAGGCTAAAAATTTGAGGTGCCTTATGGTGAAGTAACGTTTGGATGTAACTAGTTAGTACAGTGCTGATTTACATTATCCGGACACGATGAACAAATTGAAACATCTAAACGCGTTTTTTTTGTCATCAGGGACGGCATCTCGCTTCATTTATTAACGCGTTGTTTACACAGCGACCTAGCGAGCGTATTGTTATATAACGATTGCATGTTTTCCAATACAACTCTCAGACAAAATTGCTAATTTATTCTTTTTTTGCTGCATAGTATTGGAATTTCAATAGCATCCGTTCTCTGCTTTATTGGTTGCTAATATTTGCTTATTCACACGTGTGACATAGTGCTTCACACCCATGTCTTATGATTATCTTTAGTTACCATAATTGGATGCATAAGACGCTAAATATGTGACCCAGTATTCAAAAACAGCTAATTTAAACTTAATCGCATAAACTCTGGGTGCTTAAATCAAGTTGATGATTGGTCACATTGAAACCAGTCATATGAAATCATCAATGAGAACCGCTTAAACCCTTATCGAGTGCTCAAAACCTAACCTACATAAAAAAAGTCTAGAGGAAACATATCAAGGCCGTAAGGAAAGAGACTTTAAAAAGTCGAAAATTAAAAATACAGTAAAGCAGAGGTAATTAAATCTCACTCGTACATACTAACGGTACCAGGGACATATATAACTTCTCAGAGACGATCATTACGTCAGTAAAACTTATCCACACACCGGACATTGATAATTTCCACTATCAATTAGTGCTACTCCATCTGAAACCACTAATTGAATCAGAACTGAACATCATTTAACTGCAATAAGATGGCGCTCGCTCAAATCTCAGTCGATCCATTTGGGGGAACGGACAAAGAAAACTAATTATTTCAAAGCTATATGAGAGTTACGAGATGACTTTTGTAACCCTCAACCTCAAGAGGTACACATACTTAAGTTTGAGCAATTGAAGTTCGGTATCAAGAGAGACTCACCAGAAGATTACATGGTAAGTCTCACGAAAAAGGCACAACGAGCCTACCTGACACCTGATTTACCGGTAGTCGCACCAATTGATCCTGCAATAGTAGGAGTAGCTGCGAATGCAGACGCAGTGCGTTTCCATGGAGAGACGGCGGAACAACTTGCAGCAGTCAACGATAGCAGAAATGAGCAAATCAAATGACTGTTTGTTGAAAGAATGCCTAGTTGGCTTCGTTCCAACATGTTGTATCAACCACCAGCAGCAACGGTCCAAGAGTTATGTCACTTGGCGCCTTATCAACTGGCCATCAAAGACATAATGAAGACTGCCGTAATGGAGACTAACCCAAGGATAGTAAGTCTCTCAGAACATTAACGCGCTGTCAAAATTAACAGCTTAACGAAGTACGCAGCGAGTTGTCAGATACAAGAAGGCAAATGACCCAACAGTCATCATAAAAAAAGAGTACTGGGAATACTCAAAAGCATCCAGAACAGAACAACCAGCTTAAAATTGGAAATATTTATTTTTTCCAGAAAGGACAGAACAGGGGAAACGAACCTCCGAACACAGGAAACTCAGGTCAAGGAAGTTAGTCCGCACAATAAGGAAACAGGTTTGACCCACCTCAAAGAAATTAGCCAAGGAACCTGGCGTGGACAAAGGAGAAAAGAAGGGGGAAAGAAAAACGGAACTGGCAACAACGAAACAATGTTGGATTTTGAAGCTCTCGCATATCATAGATATTGCACTTAAATTGAGCTTTTTGTAATATCTTTTTCGAATGTGTGTTGTTGGTTCCTCAGACGTCCCATGATGTCATTCAAAACGGGGATTGCAAATTAAACTAAAATGGCAGAAACTGAAATTACAGTTGTGTTCAGGATGGAATGTGTGTTGTTGGTTCCTCGGACGTCCCATGATGTCATTCAAAGAACAGCTCGCCGCAATGCAAGGCAACTTCCATATACTAAGAGACTGCACCCAAACACTGTTTCTCAACCAGCAAATCAACTCCAATCTTGACATCGCAGCATTCCCTCTAAACTTTGTTTACGCGGACCTTACCAGCTATAAAGCAGCATTGTACTCTTTCAAAACTTATGTCCGCAAATCGATGCCAATACTTCTAGATCAAACACTGCCAATGTCCCTTGTGCCGCGAGAGTCACTGCTGGCGGTAATCGATGCTGTATTTAGTAGCAATTCATTCCAATGTTAATAAGTTTTGGTGATACATGCCGTTTGTTCGATGGATTGTTCTACAAATGGAGTAAACTTAAATCTTACTTTAAACTGGAATCAAGTGATGTAGATAATCGCACTTAAACTTTCGCTTATGCTGACCATAATCATGTTCTGAATTATGTCAGTAGCAGCCTCGGACAGGAAGGAACTTTAACAACAGGGGTCCAAAATTTGCGAAAGTACTTGGTACTGACGCAAGAAGAATTGGATGCCCACGAAACACCAGGCGATTGATCTAGAAGAACTTCGGTATGCTCTTCTATGGAAAAAAACAGCAAAAATTGAATTCCCACAATGACCCTAATGAAGACAGAGAGGATAGCTCAACCATCATTGAGCAGTTAACTGCATCTCACCTTATTCATCTTCTTTTCTTGTCACTTAAAAAGTTTTGCTCATGTTTTGGAGATTATACTTTTCTTATTTTTTGAGGCTATATAACACGCTGAATTTGATATTAATTTTTCATTAATTGACCCGGTAATTGAGCGTATCTTATGGTTTGCTCAAAACCCTGAGATGATCTGTTTTTGGTTTGAAATGTTTGGTCCGATTTTTGCAAAATTAATAGTTCCATAAAAATTCTGAATAAAGTTTAAAGCAACCTTAGTTCTTATCCATTTTGTAATATCGACCCAATTAAAGGAAAACGCGTTTACGTTTCCCAATTTTGTAAGTTTTTCGGTGAATTAAAATCAGCACTGTAGCAACTTGAAAATATTTCAAATCTCTCGCTCTTAAGTAACTGCATATAGTGATTCGATAATATAATATATTTCGGTAGTCTACTATGAATAACTTCCCTTTTGCTTGAATTAAAAAGTCTGCTTTGAGTTGTACAGTAATGATATGGATTTAATTGTGAGATTACCTAATTACTCGAGGACCCTGGGGCCTCTGGAGCACAAAAAGCAGTGTCGAACTTAATTCATGCATTGAATTTGAAGTATCGCGTGATTGAGTTGTCATCTAAAGAATTACCCGGAAAAGATTCTGTTAACATGGTAGAATCATGACCAAAAAATATTGCTTCAAAAGTTAGGTGATCGTGATACAAGTCATTCGATTTGAATTTTATTTCTATTTGTAAAATTACACTAAATCTAGGCCGATGATATTTTCGTGCTTATTTTCTTCATATTTTAATGATCACCAATCAAGCTCAAGTTGTAAACATAAATTTATTTGAATTGTTTTCTCTTTATATCAATTGAAATAAATTGTATTTCATATCAGAACTTTTGTGCGAGAAGTTTTTTGTTGCGAGAAAAATTGCATACAAGCGGCCGCTAGACGTATGAGGTGCAAGTGAAGTGTGAAGATACTTATTACCTTTGCGATAAGCAAGGGTATTGTAATCAGGTTTTTCCCCTATGTAGCTTTATTCACAGGACTCATTCATTTTCTGCAATCATTCATCTTCTGACATGCTCAATTTCGTGGAAATTCATTTAAAAATACTATCCTTTAAGTAGTAATTAGTTGAAGCCCGCTTCAGGTAGTAGTTATTTTTCCAAAAGTTCTTCAAAATTTTTTTCGGGTTCTTTTGGTCTTCGCCCTAGTTTCTGTCAGTTAATTTTTCATTTTTTTGAACGCCACTTTCTTATCTGGTAGGTTTTTATTGGCTAATTTTTGGATTTTGTTCCAAATTGGACAGTTTTTACCATAACTGAAACTTCAACAATTTGTAAATTTACTAAGTTTGATTTTTTTAAATTATTTGAACAGTTTCGGCTTATGTTATAGGACTAAGTCAATCTATATTGAGTATTTCGAGGGCAACATATGCTTGTATGTGATTATGTGTTTCAGTTTGGATGGATAGAAATTTTTTCTAAAACTTAAGAAATCTTTTATGAGAACATTTTCGTTTTCTTCTCAGCAGGTTTCGACCCAAAGTTTGTCACCTTTGTTGCCGCTAGGTAAATGATTTCCATTTTTGAAGCCTGTTTATGAACATCTTTCGAAAAAACATGAAACTCTCGTAGCTCTAATTCTTTAACTAACTTTTTTCAGGTTAATTTTTAGAACTTAGTTTCTCAGAATTTTTTAACTTCTGCCTTTTTTCCGATTCACTATTTTGTAGGGAAATGTGCTTTTTGCATCGCAAGTGTTAACACGCTCTGTTTCACCTCTGTGTTTAAGAGTGTTCTTTTTTTTCCCGCGTCTGCTTGCGCTAATTTTTTTTGCTGTTTGAGTTCTGAAACGTTGTTTTTTGAGAGTCGAACGTAGTTCAGACTCTTATATAGGTCGCGATGATTTTTCGCGACCTTTGTTCAGGCTCGTATTTACTTTTTAGCGGTTTGACTTGATTTCTTTTTAAGTCAAACCTGTTTAGGCTCGTATTTACTTTTTAGCGGTTTGACTTGATTTCTTTTTAAGTTGAGTTCATCTCCTTTGTTAAAAGGAAGGCAAACTCCACTATCAATCAGCCAAATTGTAAAGGTCACGAAAAACGTGATCGACTTCTAGTTTCCAAAGTGTAATTTAATTTTCAGATGTCCCAGCGAAATTTAACAAAGATAACTATTGATCCACTTTCTCCAATTGGGTCAATTGTATCGTAAAAGTGGCAATCATGAAATGTTCTAGAGCTCTAAGGGCAGCTATTTGTTTCTTTGAAATTCCAAAGTTGATTTTTTTTTTTTAAAAAGTCGATGTTTTTTCTGTTTCATTGCGTTCCTTGAATATTTTCAGCTGTCTGTTGGCTATGTTCAAATTAATGATCCAGAATGAACGTAGTGAAGGCATTTCTTTAACTAGTGATTAAATTTTTCTTTAATGTTTTTTTTTTTACAGTTTAGACTTATTATTTTCAACTTCAGCTCGATATTTGCTAAAAAGAAAAGTAAATGATGCTGTCCACAAAAGAGCAAATTGCGCTAAAAGATTTTAGTTTCCATAAGTCGTATCACTTTTAAGGTTTGCTAGTTAGATTAAAATTACCCATTGATTCAGTTTTCTCAAATTGGGTTAATTTATCAAAAACTGTCAATCGTTAAAGATTTTCTAAATTCAAAGTGCTCCAAAAGTCGAATACAATTTTTCTGTGAAATTTTTTTGCGGCTAAAATTGTAGGTATAAAATTGTGACTATACCTTACAAAATAATTCCAAAATCTTTTATCTTTTAGATAAAGATCTCGAAAATCATGTATTAAATTTCTATTTTTCTTGAAGTTATCGTCTTAATATCCTCCAAAATTGATTTATTGAAATAAATCAAAAGTTTAAACAAATTTTTGACTTTATAGATAATTGTTCTGATTTGGTAGTCATCTCCCTTTTTCTTAGTCTTAAGCCTTTTTGTTCTATTTATCTCCAAAAAAAAAACATTATTCAATTTCATCCCCTGACTAGAAAAGTCAGGGGAAAACATACTGTCAGCAGTGTGCTTTTTCTTTTTACTTTTGCTAAGGTCTTCGTTATCTCATATGTGTAGTTCTTAAGTAAATAGTCTGTAATTATTTTTTTTGGTGATTCGCAGAGTGTCCATGTTAAGTTAAACAGAATTTTTAAAATTCTGTTCTGCACTTCATCAACATTTTTCAAATCATTTTTGTTTGCCAGACCACATATGAAAACTCCATATAGAAAAATTGGTTGAATATAAGCTTTATATAATTTAATTAGTGAGTTTAGATTTAGAAACTTAGTGCTAACTAATGATAATTTTCAACTTAAAGATAAATTTCACCTGTGAGTGTTGACAATCTGTTTATCATTTCATGTATATGTTGTTTACCCTTGCCATAAGCAAGGGTATTGGAATCGCGTACTTGATTTTTCCCCGTAAACAACTTTGTCCACCGGATCATCACTTCCAGGGTACCACTGAAAGTCTATTTTTTAGCATGTAATTAGTTCAAGCCCGTTTCAGGTTGTAATCATCTTTTCAATAAAAATGTCTCATTTTTTCGGGTTCTTGCTTTTCGCCCTAGTTTTTGTCGGTTCGTTTTCCGTTTTTGTAACGTCATTTTTTATCTTGTAGGGTTTTCAATGGCTCACTTTTTGGAGCGCGGGTTTTTCAATTTGAACAGTTTTTACTTAAACTGAAATTTCACAAGTTTGTTAATTTACCAAGTCTGATTGAGTTTTTTTCAAATAATTGAACACTTTCTGTTTATGTTATAAGACTAAGTCATCTTATATTTACACCGAAGACTTTAGTCAAGGTGTTATGGTATCGTGTAACGGTTTTTTTTTTAATGTTGTCTGTTGTCAAGTGTCGACAAATAACGTCCACAGTTATCAATTATCATGTGGGCTGGACTATATCGCGCTATGTCACGTGATTGCGTATGTTTGTTTCTTTATTTGTTCATCTTTATTTATTTAATTATCTGTTCTTCTATTTATTTAATTATGTTTAGTTTGCTTATATTTATTTATAATTTATGTATGTACATATTTATTTTTGTTTATTTTTATCACGTGTTTTGTTTATTTATTTAATTATTCTTTCTTTCATTTAGTTTTGCTTTTATTATTTCTGCGTGTGTATTTATTTAATTTATTTATTTTCATTTATTTATATTATGGGTCTGTTTGTTTGGTTATTTGTTCATATATATTTTTTCATGTCTATTTAATTATTTGTACATTTCACTTTAGCTTTTATTTATTTATTTATTTATTTATTTATGTATTTATTTATGTATTAATTTATTTATTTATGTATTGATTTATTTTTTTATTGCTTATTTATGTGTTAGTACGATTTTTAGCTCTCGAACTGTTATTTCATGATCTTTGCCAATATAGCAAAATTTTGGTGTATACATGTGTTCGTACGATTTTTAGCTCACGAACTGTTATTTCAGGCCCTTTGTCAATATAGTAAAATTTTGGTGTATACATGTGTTAGTACGATTTTTAGTTCTAGAAGTGTTATTTTATGAGCTTCGTTGATATATCAAAAATTTAACCTATACATGTGTTAGTACGATTTTTAGTTCTAGAACTGTTATTTCAGGCTCTTTCTCGATATAGCAAAATTTTGGTGTATACATGTATTAGTACGATTTTTTGTTCTAGAACTGTTATTCTTCAATTATTAGTTGTTCAAGTTGTTTGGTTTTAGCTTCAGTTTCTATGCCTTCGGTGTATTGCGCGTAGCGCCTATGTTGCGTAATACGAGGGCAACATTTATTTTTATGCGCTCATGTGTTTCACTTGGATGGCTTTGCACGTTTTGTGGCACTCCGCTTCGGCGCTGTGTTTTTTAGAGTGCTTTCTATTCTGTTTCCAATACACTTCACTTAAGCTTCAATATCAACATTCTATCTGTTTTCAAGCATGATACCATGTATTGGGTATCGAAAACCAAAGCGATAACATTTTACTAGAAGAAATGAGCGATCAGCAGTGTTAAATGCTTTGCTTAAATCAATTAAAGCACTAGTGTTAGAATTATTCTCGAAAACATCCAAATTTGCGTCTCTTGTTGATTTTCTGATTGATACTAAAGCTGATGTGTTAACAAAATTTTTGTGTTTTGATGTAAAGTTAGTCAATCTGTTAGATACTTATTTTTCGTGCACTTTTTTTATTACTGGAAGAAGCGAGGCTGATCTGTTTTTTTCCACAGTGATAATTCCACACTTGAATTGCGATATTGCTCTTGCCACTTACAAAATTTGAGGAAAGTTCTGCTCATCGAAGCAACGATTTAAAAGCTTCGCAAGATACCCACAAACAGCGGCGTTCTTTTTTCCAAGTAGAAACGTTTTACAGCCCTCCAAGTCCACTGATGTTCTGGTTTCAAAACCTTGATTTTTAGAATAAGTTTCGTTTCTTGTTTTCTTAAATCATAAAATTGGCCTTGTTTTTGTTTCTATTTTCATCGGTTGCTTGCAGTTAATTCTTCCCAATATTTAAAAAGTAATCGTTTTTTGTGTCGAGGTCAAACTCTTTTCTGTGTTTAATGTGAACATCATCACTTTCTTTAGCGAATTGGAAAAAAAATTAGCTGTCTTTTGACTTTCTTTTTTATTTTATTAGAAATTGGTGTTATTTGACTTGATTAACAATTTTGCTTTTTGTCCATTATTTAAATTTTTCCAAAATCCTCTGAAAATGTTTTTATAGCTGTTTTAGCCGCTATGTTGTTAACCCTTTTTAAGAGTGCTTAAAATTTTCCTTGTTTTTTTTATCGTCAATCAGGTATGTGTTTCAGTTTTGTTTGATTTTTTCTATGCACCCAGTATGTGTTCTTTTAAAATGTCCAATGT